AGGGGCTGAAGCCCCTGTTGCAACCTAGGGTTTAGGGATTAGGGTTTAGGGTTTGGGGTCTAGGGTTTAGGGTTTAGGGTTTAGGGTTTAGGGTTTGTCAGGCCTGCGCCGCCCCAGCGGCATTCTGATGTTCGGGCCCCCCGGCTGCGGCAAAACCCTTTTGGCCCGGGCCCTGGCGAAGACCTGCAACGCGCACTTCTTTTCAGTCAAGGGTTTGCCAAACCCTAAACCCTAAACCCTAAACCCTAAACCCTAATCTGGATTCCGTGGAGGAGGTGCCTGTGCACCCTCTTCCGCCCCTGCGTTTCCGCCCGCTGCGGCGCCTGCAGCCACCAGCTGCAGCTGGAAAGCGCGGGGCTTGGGGCTCAGGGTTTAGGGTTTAGGGTTTAGGGTTTAGGGTTTAGGGTTTGCGCAGGCCCGGAGTTGCTGAACAAGTTTGTGGGCGAAAGCGAAGCTGCGCTGCGGCGGCTCTTTGCAAAGGCCTTTTGCTTCCAACCTGCTGTTGTCTTTTTCGACGAAGTCGACGCGCTTTGTGGGGCCCGGGGGGGCCCCCTGAACGAGCAGCAGCAGCAGCAGCAGCAGCAGCAGCAGCAGCAGCAGCAGCAGCAGCAAAGTTGAGGAGCGGCTGATTGCGCAAATGCTCACGGAACTTGATGGACTAGAAGCAAGAGGAGATGTCTTCGTTGTTGCTGCTACCAACAGACCCGAAGCAATTGATGCTGCGCTGCTGCGGCCCGGCCGCCTCGAAGTTCAGGTGTACGTACACCTCCCCGGCCCCACAGACCGCAGCCAAATCTTCAGGGCCGGACTCCGCAACTTGCTCCGAGACGTCCTCCAGCAGCAGCAGCAGCAGCAGCAGCAGCAGCAGCAGCAGCGGCAGCAGCAGCAGGGGGAGCGGCAGCAGCAGCAGCAGGGGGAGCGGCAGCAGCAGCAGGGGAAGCGGCAGCAGCAGCAGCAGCAGGCGGAGCGGCAGCAGCAGCTGCAGCAGGGGGAGCGGCAGCAGCAGCAGCAGCAGCAGCAGCAGCAGCAGCAGCAGGGGGAGCGGGAGCAGGAGGAGGCGCTCGAGGAGAGGCTGCAGCGGTTCGACTTCCAGCAGCTCGCCGAAGAAACTGAGGGGTACCCAAACCCTAAACCCTAAACCCTAATCCCTGCTAAACCCTAAACCCTAATCCCTGCTAAACCCTAAACCCCAAACCCTGCACTCCTACGCAGCTAAACCCTAAACCCTAAACGCCACTAGCTGAGGGAGCCGAACTGCAAACCCTAGACCCGGTGACGCCCCTGGGGAACACTGGCCCTAGTGCCGAGGGTTTAGGGTTTAGGGTTTAGGGTTTAGGGTTTAGGGTTTGTGGGGGGTGTGTGGCGCCTCAGGTTCAGCGGCGCAGATATCGACGCGGCGCTGCGCACTGCTGCTGCTGATCTGCTGCAGCAGCAGCGGGACCAGTTCGTTGGGGTGCTGAAGCAGCAAATAAAGCAGCTGCTGCAGCAGCAAGTCAGCAGCAGCAGCAGCAGCTGCTGCAGCAGCAGCAGCACTCGCTGCGACAGCACTGCCAGCAGCAGCAGCAGCGTCAGTAGCACCAGCAGCACCGACGCAGAAAGCAGCAACCAAAACAACTGTAGCAGCAGCAGCAGCAGTAGCAGCAGCAGCAGCAGCAACAGCAGCAGCAGCAGCAGCAGCAACTTTGCTGCTGCTGCTGCACTAGCAGAGCTGGACTCTTTGTCTGCTTTTGAGGTGTACGAACTCTGCAGCCGCCTCGGGGGCCCCTACAGCGAAGCAGCAGCAGCAGCAACAGCAGCAGGAGGCCCTGCTGCTGCTGCTGCTGCTGCGCTGCAGCTGAACCAGCAGCAGCTGCTGCAGGCCATCCGAAAGACGAGGCCCTCGGTCTCGCAGCAGCAAGTTGCGTTTTACGACGCGTACGCTGCTGCTGCTGCTGCAGCGCCAAACCCTAAACCCTAAACCCTAAACCCTAAACCCTTCAAGAAAAAGAATCCACAAAATGTTGCATGCAGCTGGCGCGCCAGAGCAGCAGCAAACCCCAAAAGAGTCAAATGCAGCAGCACAAGAGACCTTCAGCCTCTCTTTGCTTCTGAGCTGCTGCTCCCTGGCTGCTGCTGCTGCTGCTGCTGCCTGTAGCGCTGAGCCCTTCGCAGGGCAGCAGCAGCAGCTGCTGCTGCGGGAGCGCATCTGCTCTTTCTGCTGCTGCTGCTGCTGCTGCTGCTGCTGCTGCTCAGTGCTTTGCTGCTGCTGCGCCTGCGGCGGCACACAAAGTCTGACAGCTTCTCGGGTGTCTATACACCCCGCTGCTGCCTGCATCTGGGAATTATTTGGATTTGAATTAATTAATTATTTAATTAATTAATTAATTATTATTTAATTAATCAATTAATTGTTTTCAATTGAAAACAATTTGCTGCTGCGCCAGCTCATGGCTTCCCGGCCCGCTGCACCTGCTGGCCTGCAGCCTTCTCGTCTTTTGCTGCTGCTGCAGCAGCACCAAACCACGGGAACCACCCCGAGGACTTCTTTTGCTGCTGCTGCTGCTGCTGCTGCTGCTGCTGCTGCTGCTCTGCTGCTGGCCTCTTTGCTGCTGCCTGCTGCTGCTCCTTCCTGTCCATTTCCAGCAGCCTGCGGCGCACCTTCTCCGGGTCGGGGCGGCCCTTGCGCTGCTGGTTCTTTTTCTCTGCTGCTGCTGCTGCTGCTGCTGCTTTGTCCTTTGCTGCTGCTGCAGCTTCTGCTGCTTCCTCCCCCTGCCCCCTCTTCTTCGCCGAGTTCAGCCGCAGCAGCAAATAAAGCCCCAGCAGCAGCATTGCTGTCTGCATGAAGTAGTTCCGCATTGCAGTGCGGCTGCGGGCAGAAGCAATTGCTGCAGCAACAGGATCTGCTGCTGCTGCTGCTGCTGCACCTTGGAGGTCTGCTTCGGGCTGCCCCAGGAGGGGCCCCTCGAGGGACACGGGGGCCCCTGCTGCAGCAGCAGCAGCAGCAGCAGCAGCAGCGTCGCCCCTCATGTACAGGGAGGGCACGCTGCTGCCAGTCACCACCACTGTGCGCTCTTGCTGCACTGCAGCAGCGCCGCCTGCTGTGCCCAGGAAGTCGCGGCCTGCTGCTGCTGCTGCTGCTGTTGCTGCTGCTGCTGCTGCTGCAACAGCCAGCAGCCGCAGCGCCAGAGCTGCGGTGTATCCGCAGCTCCTTGGACCAGTCCCATAGCCTCGCATCCCGATTCAGGTGTATAGGCAGCTCCCAGCTGCAGCAAAAAGAAAAAGCAATTTAAAAAGGAGAACGCCACCGAGGGGCTGCGGCTCGGCGCTCCCGCTGCTGCTGCTGCTGCTGCTGCTGCTGCTGCTGCTGCAGTGAGCGGCAAAGAAAGGAGGAGGCAGGGGCTGCGAGCGGCCAAGGACTCTCAAAACCCTCAAATTAGGAAAAGCTTTTAAACACAGATTCTAAACAACTGCTGCTTCCGTGTTGGCGGCTCCACCAGAGGGCCTGGGCCTTACAGAGGAGCAGCAGCAGCACGGCTGCTGCTGCTGCTGCTGCTGCTGCTGCTGCTGCTGCTGCTGGTGTCACTGCGCCGAGAGCGCTCACTGCGGAGCTGCGTGCCTTTGCCGCTAAACCCTTTTCTTCCTTTTTCTTTTTAAATCTCCAAATTAAATTTCAATAAATGAGAAAATTTCAAAGAAACAAAACCAGCAGCAGCAGCAGCAGCAGCGCAGCAGCAGCAGACCCCACACTGCCCGGCCCCTGCGGTGCGCAGTGTGTGGCGGCCCTGCCTTCTCTTGTCTTAGCTGAGCAGCAAATTAGAATTGAAGCAGCACTGTGCAGCAGCAGCAGCTCCTCTGCAGCAAGCCTTGGGGGCCAGACGTGCTGCTGCTGCTGCTCCGTGCTGCTGCAGCACGAGCTGCTGCCACTTCACTCTAGTGGACTTTATTAGGGGGCCCTTTTGCTGCAGTAGGGTTTTAGTCTGGGCCCGAAAGCTGCAGCAGCAAAGCCCAGGAGCAAGCCCCGCAGGGGCCCGAGGCCGTGCAGCAGCAGCAGCAGCAATCCTGCTGCTGCTGCAGCAGCAGCAGCAGCAGGAGCAGCCTAAAGCTGCTGCAGCGCAGCGGCAGCGGCCCCCACGGGGCAGCCTGAAAGTGGCCGCAAGTGCTGCTGCTTATGGGGGAGACGCAGCCTTTGCTGCCTCGAGCTGCTTCTGCACTTTGCTGCTGCGCATGCAGCTGCTGCGCATGCAGCTGCTGCGCATGCAAGGCCAAAAGCTCCACTGCTGCGGGCTGCTGCTGCGGGCTGCTGCTGCGGCTGCTGCTGCAGCAGGGGCCCCTGCTGCATGCAACATTTTAGTGTTTGGACTGGCCCGAGGGGGGCCCCTTGGGGAAGTTCGGGGTTTGTTTGTGGCATTTAAAAGGGAAAGCATGGAAGCAAATTTAATTCTTTTTTCCAATTTTGCTGCTGAAGCTGCTGCAGCAAATCAAAAACCATTTAAATGCACTTCACAAAAAAAAGAAAATGCGGAGAAGTCCTGCAGCCTTTGCTGGAACTGCCCTGCAGGCCATTGCGGGGGTCTTCAGAAAAGAATCCTCAGAAGGCCTCAAATAGATTTATTTCAAATTTCATTTAAATAAAAGATTCCTCAGAAGGCCTCAAATAGATTTATTTCAAATTTCATTTTTCTTTTTTCTGAAAAAAAGAAAAAATTAATTCTTCAGCTCAGCTTTAATGCAAAGTGCTTCTGCCTACAGTTGAGCCCAGTGCTTAATGTGTTTGCCAAATGCTTCATCAGTGTTTTTAATTCAAAAAGAAGAAACTCTTTGGAGAGAAAAGAATAAATAATTAATTATTTTAAAACAATATAATGGAGAAAAGGCGAAAAATGAATGGCGGAGGCAGAAGTGCACTGTCTGTATTCGAATTTAAATTTTTATTTGCATTTTTTTCCAGTTTTCTTTTTCTTGTTTTTCTCCCCTTTGATTTTATCTTTTCCACTTGTCTCATTTGCCACTTTCCTTCTTTATTTATCTCATTGCTGATTCATTTCTTTTCTTTTTCCAGGAATTGCGTTTCCCTTTTTTCTGTTTTACTTTATTTCTTTCTTCACTAATTTTCTGCCTCCCCAGAGCCTCTGAGACTCCCACTGGCCGGCGCTTCTTTTATTCAATTGGAACTTTTAGTCCAAATGGTCTTTTTGTTTTTTTTTCAAATTACACTTTTGCCGTTTTGAAAAAGAAAGGGGCCCCCGGGGCCCCCGGGCCAGCTGGTGGGATTGGGGGCCCCCGCGCGGCTGGCGAAGAAGTTTGGGGAGCACTCAGCTATCGGATTCTTTTGCAATTAGCATTTGATTTATTTAAATCTGATTTCTAATTTATTTCATTTATCACACCACTCTCCTGTTATAGTGAATAAAAGTCTGCAAGACAGAAGGATCCCTTTGAGCGGGGCAGCAGTTAAGAACAAGAAAGGCAAAAAGGACAACTGCAGCAGCAGAAAAAGCAAGAGAGCATCTCTTGTCGCATGCATCTTCTGCAGCAACTGTTGCTGCGCCCCACAAGCAAGCGAGCTGCGGCGGCCCCACAGCAGCGCAGCAGTCCTGGCCGCTGCCTTTTGGGGCCCCCTCCAAATAAGGCCTCAAAGTGCATGCAGCCTTTTTGCTGCAGCAGGGGGCCCCCCGCCTGCTGCTGGCGACTCCAGCAGCAGGCTGGGGGCCCTCTTGCTGCTGCCTGCTGCTCTCTCAAAGCCCCGATTTGGGTTTTAGAGTTAAAGACAGATCTTGCTGCGCTGCGGAAAGCCCCTGAGGGACTTTTGCTTCACTTGCTGCTGCGCCTTCTGTGGAAATGCTGCTGCAGCGAAATGAACTTGACGCAATTTGGCGTTTTTTGTCTCTTTAGATCTCACTCTAGATCTGCAGCTGGGCTTGCCTAGAACTGCTGCCTAAAGGCTCCACTTGTTAGTTTTTAATGTTTAAATATCTTTTTCACTTGGCCTCAAACTTCAAAGAAGTGGACTTGTTCTCTCCTGGCTGCAGCGCAGCAGCTCTTACCAGCTGCAGCAAAGCCCAATTATCGCCCAAGGACAAAGTCCCTTTGCTTTTCAGTTTTTTTATTTTTCTCAAATTCTCTTTCCGAATTGAAATTATACTCTGAGAGACCGAAGGCCGTTTCTGGCCGCCCCCAAATGCTGCGCAGCCCCGCTGGGCTCTTTGCCCCCAGCTGGGCTGCAGAAGATAAGGAGACAATTTCCGGGAAAAGAGACAAAAAGAGACAGAGACAATCTTCTGATAAGAGACAAAAAAGAGACAGAGACAATTTCTGAGGTAAGAGACAATAAAGAGACAGAGACAATTTTCTGATGAGAGACAATCAGAGACAGGGACAATGTTCTGAGATAAGAGACAATGAAGAGACAAAGACAATTTCTGAGATAAGAGACAGTAAAAAGACAAAGACAATTTTCTGAGATGAGAGAGAGTGAGGAGACAGAGACAATTTTCTGAGATAAGGGAGAGTGAAGAGACAGAGACAATTTTCATGAGAGAAAAGATATTGAGGAGACAAAGACAATTTTCATGAGGGAAGAAATATTGAGGAGACAGAGACAGTTTTCTGGAAAGAAGAGTGATAATGAAGAGACAGAGACAGCTTTCAGGAGATAAGAGACACTGAGGAGACAGAGACAGTTTTCTGGGGATAAGAGAGGCAGTGAGGAGACAGAGACAGCCATAAGAGGAAAACTTTATTCTTTTTGAAAACATAAAAGCTCTTAACTCCCCCAAACCCCATTTTGGGGTTTGTGTCCCTGGCTGTGGAGAGAGAGAAAAGGGTAAGTTTGATTCCTCGCTGAAAACACTCAATGTTCAAAACTTCGAAAACTTTCCCAAGTCACTCCACAGAAACCACGGGCCTTCTGTCTCCGTGATTACCCCACTAGAGGCTGCAAGCCCCATTCAGTGCATGCGTTGCAGCTGCTGAACTTTCAGCAAAAAGAAAAGGAAAATCTTTTCTCACTTCTGGGTCCCGGAGTTCCCAGTTTGAAGTGCAAGTGCTTGAGTTTTCCGGCAAGCGCAGACAGTCTTGAGTTTCCAAAAAGGCATTTATGAGTTTTTAAAAAATAACTTTTCAAAGAACTTGCCAAGCAAGACCAAGTCAAATGTCTTTTTCTTTATTTGTTCATTTGCTTCTCAAGCGAGACAAGAGCAGCAACAAGGCCCCGCTGAATGAATTGGCTCCCGTTTTAGAGCCTTGGAGTTTTAAAATGTTTATCTTTTTAAAAAGTTTTTTATTTTTCAAATAGAAGTGAAGGCCCCACTGTATTGGCTGTGGCACAAGAAGGCAATTAAATGTTTTCTGAGGCTCATTTAGAAATAAGATTCTTCAGATTTGCACAAGACCTTTCAAAATAATTAAATTAATTTTATTCAAGAAAGAGCCCTTTATCAGTTTAATCTTTCTTCTTTCTTCAAATCAGAAAAGAACACAAAACCACTTTCGGCCAAGTTGCAATCTTTAGCAACTTGCAGCAACTAAATGGCACCAGAAAAAACATTAAGAAGTTCCGGATCTTTTTTACTTTCTTATTTTTTTAGATTTTAAATGCTTTAACACTTCCTTTTATCCCAAACAATCCCAAATGAATAAAAGCGACTTCAGACTCAGGCGCATGCAAGCCAGCAGCAAGGAAGAAGCAAATGGACAAATTTGCTGCTACTGCCGGAAGCTGCATTTTGCTGCTGGGCCCCAGAGGGGGGCCCCGGGGTTTAGCCTGGAGCAGCAGGAAGTCAAAAGTTTCGAAAATTCAAAAAGCTTTCTTTTGCTTTTCTGTAAAATAGTCATTAGAGACAAAAAGAAACAAATTCTGGCCAAGAGCTGCTCCTCCTGCAGGGCCTCGCTGATAGCAGCAGCAAGGCCCTCTTGCTGCAGCACTTGCTGCTGCTTTAGGGGCCCCCTGCAGCTGCTATAGGGGCCCCTGGGGCCCCCGGGGGCCCAGGGGCCCCCGGGGACCCAGCCAGACGGCCAGAAGCGGGCAGCAGCCGCCCCTGCTGCTGCTGCAGCCTTTCCCCCCATATTTTGGTCTAAACTTTAAGTGTTCACTCGAGCAGCTTCTCCTGTAGCTGCTGCTGCTGTTGCTGCTGCTGCTGCTGCTGCGGGAAACAGCAACTGGGGCTTTGCTGCAGAACTGCGGCTAGAGCCCACGACTTGGGCTGAGAGGTGTCTCCTTTGCTGCGTGTGGGGCCAGCTGCCACTCCCGCTGCACGTTTCGGTGGTCCTCAATAGCAGCAGCAGCAGCAGCAGCAGCAGCAGCGAGAGCAGCAGCAAAAGCAGCAGCAGCGGCAGCAGCAGCAGCAACAGCAGCAGCAGACAACTGTTCTTTCCTCCTGTAGCTGTTTCAGCTAAATGCTCAGAGCTTGGTGCCCTCAGCAGTGGAAGAGACAGTAAGTGACCTCGAAGTCCCTTGAGCTGCATCGCTGGCGAAAGCCTGCTGCTGCTGCTGCTGCTGCTGCTGCTGCTGCGGCAGCAACTGCAGCAGCAACGGCAAAAACAATTGCAGTAGCATCTGCAGCAACTGCTACAGCAGCAGCGGCAACTGTTACAGCAGCGGATGATCCTGTTGCTGTCGCTGGTTCTGGAAGGGACCAGCAGCAGCAGCAGCAGCAGCAGCAGCAGCAGCAAAACCGCCACCCAGTGTGGGGTGTCCCGCGAGGGGCAGAGAGACAGGAAGTCCGAAGAAGCGCAACAAAGGGCAAGTGGTGCAGCAGCAGCTGCTGCAGCAGCAACAGCTGCAGCAGCAACAACAGCAGCAGCAGCAGCAAGAGACGCAGTAGACCCGTGAGGCCCCACCATCAAGGGGCGCTGCTGTAACAACACAGTGGCGGTGTTGCTGCTGCGCTGCTAAACCCTAAACCACAAGCCCTGAAGGCCATTACTTAAACTCCAAACCCTAAACCCTAAACCCTAGCAAGAAGTCGTTTAACGCAGCTGCAGCAGCGACGACGAGGGGCCCCCCCCGAGAACAGCAGCAGCAGCCTTCGCTGCTGCTGCTGCTGCCTGCTGCGGCTGCTGTCTTTGTTGTGTCTCCTGTCTGTTTGTTAAATTGGTAATGCATTTGTGTTTAGGGTTTTCTGCTGCTTGTCCTATTCGCGTTGCTGCAGCAGCTGCTTCTCTGCTGCTGCTGCTCTTCCCCGGCGCCTCCGCCCTGCTGCTGCCGTTCGCTGGGTGCTGCAGCAGCAGCAGCAGCAAGAACGACAGCAGCAAGTACCTCTTTTTGTCTCTTTTTCTCTTTAATTGCTGCTGGACATACACCAGGGCCCCCCTGCTGCAGCAGCAAACCGGCACCACTGCCAACTCGGGGGGCCCTGCAGCAGCAGCAGCAGCAGCAGCAGCAGCAGCAGCAGCAACCACCTCAGTTGGACAACAGGACATCTTGCTCACCGGATACAAACAGCTGTACGCGGTGCCGGTGGCAGCAACAACAAGGGCAGCAGCAGCAGCAGCAGCAGCAGCAGCAGCACGAGGGCAGGTTCTTGGGAGTAACGGCGCTGCGACTTCCCCCCCAATGTTGCCTCTCCCAACCTGCAGCAGCAGCAGCAGCACCACCGCCACATCCACCTTGAGGAGCAGCAGCAGCAGCAGCAACAGCAGCAGCAGCAGCAGCAGCAGCAGGGATGCCGTCTGAGTGCCACGGCGGCCCCTCGGGGTCCCCTTCTGCCTGCGGCGCTGCTGCTGCAGCAGCAGCAGGAGAAAGCGAAGAAGAGCTTTTCTGGCAGCAAAAAGACACGCAGTACTTTTCAAAAGTGCATCCGCAGCTGCTGCAGCTGCTGCAGCAGCACCAGCAGCAAAGCAGTCAGTTCATTGAGTTTGCTGTGCCCCTGCTGACGGAAAGAAGCAAGCGCCACCAGCAGCAGCAGCGGCACCTGCAGCAGCAGCAGCAACTGTTGCAGCAGCAGCAGGAGCGAGGGGAGCAGCAGCAACGGCAAGTGCTGCAGCAGCAGCAGCTGCTGCAGCAAGCGGCAGTGCAAACAGTGTCGCTGCTGCTGTCTCCTGAAGACATTTCAGCAGCAGCAGGAGACAGTGCACTTCCGAAGACGGAGGAGGACGAGGAGCAGCAGCTGCTGCAGCAGCTGGAGAAGCTGCAGCAAGAGCTGCAGCAGGAGCAGCAAAAGCATCAGAAGGAGCAGCAGCTGCGGCAGCAGCAGCAGCAGCAGCAAGCCCGCGCAGCTGGCAGCACTGCGTACGCCCATGGGGCGGAGAAGCGAGAGTACACTGGTCTTCCCGCGGAAGCTGCCAGCAGCAGCAGCAGCAGCAGCAGCAGCAGCAGCAGCGACGGGCCCGGAGCTGGCGCAGCAGCAGCTGCTGAGCAGCTGCCGCGTCGCGCCGCGTCGTCTCCGCGCGGCCAGCAGCAGCAGCAGCAGCAGCAGCAGCAGCAGCTGCGAGCTGCTGCAGCGCGGTGTGCGCGGAGTCGAGCGTGTTCTGGTGGCTGCCGGTGTCGCGCAGCCCCGGGCTGCAGCAGCTGCTGCACCACCAGCAGCTGCTGCTGCATGCGCCTTACCAAACGAGAGACACGGGAGTGGCTTACAGGGAAAAGGAGACAGCAGCAGCAGCAAACTCTTTAATTGATTTAATTGTTAAGAAAAAGCCAGCAGCAACTCAGCGGCTGCAGCGGCGCCACGCGGCCGCCGGCCGCAGCTGCAGCAGCAGCAGCAGCAGCAGCGCCGCGCAGCAGCGCGCCGGCAGCAGCAGCGCCAAGCCCGACCCCGCTGCTGCTGCTGCTGCTGCTGCTGCAGCAGCAGCAGCAGAAGATGACGCTGCATGCGAAGCTGTCTTCGACCCGCTGGTTAACAAAAAGTGGCAGGGGCAGCTGCTGCCTCAGGTGTATGTACACCCCCCCCCAGACGGCGCCGTGCTGTCGCTGCTGCTGCCTCCAGCTGTCACTGCAGCAGACTTTCCTGCTGCTCTCGACGACTGCAGCAGCGTGGACGAGCTGCTGGCTCTTGTTGCTGCTGCTGCGCAGCAGCAGCAGCAGCCCCCGCAGCCAGCAGCCTCCCCCGACGCTCCCGCTGCTGCTGCCGCTGCTGCTGCTGCTGCTGCTGCTGCCCCGCCTCCTGCGGCCAACGCAGCCGCGCCACTAGTCAAGGCGGAGTGGGACCAGCAGCAGCAGCAGCAGCAGCAGCAGGGAGATGCAGCAGCAGCAGCAGCAGCAAGCGTCTCCACGACGCTGCTGCCTCTCCCACAAGTGCTCTGCGGGCCGACGCCGGTGTGGCTCTCCCCGCGCCCAGCTGCAGCAGCAGCAGCAGCAGAAAATGGTAGCAGTAGCAGTAGCAGCAGCAGCAGCTGCAGCAGCAGCAGCAGCAGCAGCAGCAGCTGCAGCAGCAGCAGCAGCGACGACGAGACACTTCTTCCGGTGTACGCGCAGTCCTACATAGACAGTTTAGACGCCCGAGGGCGCGACGCCCTTTGGGCCCGCCTGGGGCAGCAGCAGCAGCAGCAGCAGCAGCAGAAGCAGCAGCAGCAGCAGCAGCGTGGGGAGTTGAGCCCCGACGCTGCTGCTGCTGCTGCTGCTGCTGCTGCGGACAAGATGCTGCTTCCAGTGCGTCCTGCACATGTGCTGCCGCCGCTCTTCGGCTACTATGGATCGCCGGAGGCTTGCGAGCAGCAGCAGCAGCAGCAGCAGCAGCAGCAGCAGCTGGTGGTGTCGCCCGTGCCTCCTGCTGCAGCAAACAGCCGCCCCGAAGATGCAGCAAAACGCACAGGGATTCCCTTGGCCTTAGAGTACAACAGAGAAGCAGGTTTGCTGCTGCCGCTGCAGGGACTGGAGCTGCTGCAGCAGGAGATGCAGCGGGTTACTATTGCAGCAGCAGCAGCAACACCCACGGCTGCGGAGGCAGCAGCAGCAGCAGCAGCGGCTGGAGCAACAGCAGCAGCAAAAGCGGCAGCAGCAGCAAGTCACAGCGGCCTAGGAACGCCGCAGCAGCAACAGGCTAGCACTGAAGATGCAGCAGCAGCGGCAAGACCAGCAGCAGCAGAAGCAGCAGCAGCAGCAGCATTGGCAGATGCAGCAACGGCGGCGGCAGCGGAAACTCCAGCGGCAACAGCAGCAGCAGCAGATGCAACAGTAGCAACAACAGCAGCGGCAGCAGCAGCAGCAGCAGATGCAGATGCTGAAGCTCAAATGCTGGAATGTGCGGAAATGGACACAGACTGCGGCAAAGATCAGCAGCAGCAGCAGCAGCAAGAGCAGCAGCAGCAGCAAGAGCGGCAGCAGCAGCAAGAGCAGCAGCAGCAAATTGATTCCAAAGAGGACCTGAAGGTGCAAGTAGACAATGAGTTGGAGGAGACGGAGACAGTTGAAAGCAAAGGACCTCAGCAGCAGCAGCAGCAGCAACCGCAGCAGCAGCAGGAGCAGGAGGAGGAGGAGCAGCAGCAGCAGCAGCAACCGCAGCAGCCGCAGGAGCAGCAGGAGGAAGAGGAGCAGCAGCAGCAGCAACCGCAGCAGCGGCAGGAGCAGCAGGAGGAGCAGCAGCAGCAGCAGGAGCAGGAGCAACAGCCGACGCGGCAGCAGCAAAAGGAGGAGCAGCAGGTCCAGCCGCAGCCGGAAGACCAGCAGCAGCAGCAGCAGACACAGCCGCAAGGCCCAGAAGAGCCACAGCAGCAAGAGCAGCAGCAGCAGCAGGAGCTGCAGCAGCAGCAGCAGCAGCTGCAGCTGTGGCAGGATTCTGAAGATGGCTGGATGGAGACAGAAGCAGAAAACCTGACATGGCGTTTAGTTCGTCTTGCCCAGGAAAAGAGGCACATGTATGGCCAGTTAGGGTTTAGGGTTTAGGGTTTAGGGTTTGGGGTTTAGGGTTTAGGGTTTAGGGTTTAGGGTTTGGGGTTTAGGGTTTTGGGCGTTTTTGCTGTGCAGCCTCAAGGACCTTATCTTGGCGGTCTCTTCAGAGCGGCGGCCGGCGCTGCAAGAATGGGCACAAGCTGAGGACGTGAGCTGCTGCTGGTGCTGTTGCTGCTGCTGCTGTTGCTGCTGCTGCTGTTGCTGCTGCTTTTGTTGCTGTTGCTGGCTTTGTTGCTGCTGTTGGTTGCTGTTGCTGGAGTTGCCGTCGCTGCGTGCGGCTTTGCTGGGTTTGTTAGCCTTTTTGTCCGTGCTGCTGCTGCTGCTGCTGCTGCTGCTGCTGTTGCTGCTGCTGCTGCTGCTGCTGCTGCTTCTCCCCCCCCGCTGCCGCTGCAAGTGCTGCCATTTCCCCCTTTCCCCTACCGCTGCTGCTGCTCCCTTTGCTGCCGCTGCTGCCGCTGCTGCCGCTGCTGCGGCTGCTGCTGCTCGCCCACACTTCCCTGCGCCTCGCTGCTGCTGCTGCTGCTGCTGCTGCTGCTGCTGCTGCTGCGGAGACGCAGCCCGCCGCGGACGCGGCCCACGCACCGACTCCGGGGGCAGCAGCAGCAGCAGCAGCAGCGGCAGCGGACCGCGCGCAGCCAAGATCCAAGAACGCACCCGCAGACGCAGCAGCACCCGACAGCAGCAGCAGCAGCAGCAGCAGCAGCAGCAGCAGCAGCACTTTGGTGAATCCGCTGGACTACCTGCGGCAGGTGCCGCTTTACTTCTCGGACTCCGAGGAGGAAGAGGCGCCTGGGGGCGAGGCCGCAGGGTCTTCTTCTGCAGCAGCAGCAGCAGCAGCAGCAGCAGGGCCCTCTGCGTCCTCCGCTGCTGCTGCTGCGCGGGGCTGCAGCAGCAGCAGCAGCAGCAAGACGAGTTCGCAGCCGCCGCCGCTGCTTCCGCCGCCGCCGCCGCCGCCGCCGCCGCAGCAGCAGCAGCAGCAGCAGCAAGGCGAGGAGGAGGAGGAGCTGCTGCTGCTGCAGAGCAGCAAATTCTACAGCAAAGACCCGCTGCTGCGCTGCACTGTTGCTGTCAGTTTGCTGCAGGGCCTCACTGCCACGCTGCGGCTGCCAGTTTGCTGCCTCTGCGGCTTCGACGGCTTTTGCCCGGGGGGGGGCCCCCTTCGCAAGACAGACAATGTACGTCATTTTGCTGCTGCTGCTGCTGCTGCTGCTGCTGCTGCTGCTGCTGCTGCTGCTGCTGCTGCTGCTGCGCCTTTTGCTGCTGCTCTTCGCCGCTCCTTTTGCTGCTTTCTTTCGCGCTCTTGACGCTCCTTTGGTCTCCTTTTTTGTCCCTTTTTTGTCCCCTTTTTGTTTCTTTTTTGTCTCTTTTTAATCTTTTTCTGTCTCTTTTTTTGCTGTTTTTTGTCTCCTTTTTCCCTCTCTATTGCCCTTCTTTTTGTCTCCTTTTTCTCCTTTTTGTTGGCTCTCTTCTGGCTCTTTTTGTCTCTTCTTTTGCCTTTTTTTGTCTCTTTTTGGGGCTTTTTTGTCCATTTTTTTGGCTTTTTTTGTCTCCTTTTGGGCCTTTTTGTCTCCTTTCCTTCAGCTTTTCTCTGCCTTTTCTGTCTCCTTTTTGTTTTTTTTCTGTCTCCTTTTTGCTTTTTTTTTCCTGTCTCCTTTGATGCATCTTGTCTTTTTTTTTCTGTCTCCTTTTTGCTTTTTTTTCTGTCTCTTTTGATGTTTCTTGTCTCTTTATGTCTCCCTTTTTGTGTCTTTCATTTCCTTTTTTATTTTCCTTTCTCTTTTATTTTCTTTCTTCCATTTGTGTCTTTTTTGTTTCCTTTTTTCTTCTTTTTTCTTCTTTTTTGTCTCTTTTATTTCTCTCTTTTCCATTTCCATTTTCTCTTTTTTCTTTGCATGCAGCGTCTCCTTGTGGGGTGTCCGGTGTCTGCATGTGGGGTGTCCGGTGTCTCCGTGTGGGGTGTCCGGTGTCTGCATGCATGTGGGGTGTCAAATGCATGCATGTGGGGTCTTTGCATGCATGTGGGGTGTCTGCATACATGTGGGGTGTCAAATGCGTGCATGTGGGGTGTCTGCATGCATGTGGGGTGTCAAATGCATGCATGTGGGGTGTCTGCATGCATGTGGGGTCTCTGCATGCATGTGGGGTGTCAAATGCATGCATGTGGGGTGTCTGCATGCATGTGGGGTGTCAAATGCATGCATGTGGGGTGTCAAATGCATGCATGTGGGGTGTCTGCATTTATGTGGGGTATCAAATGCATGCATGTGGGGTGTCCGGTGTCTGCATGCATGCTTGGTGTCTGCATGCATGCATCGTGCATGCGCCTGCGTTCGAAAAGAGTTAATTTCGCGAGTTTTAATCCGTTTTTTCTCGTTTTTTTCCAACTTCCCGGACACAACTCAAGCCTTCCTTCCCCCCTCTGCTGCTGCTGCTGCTGCTGCTGCTGCAGTCGCAAGTGTGGGCCCACGTGCGCTGCGCCCTCGCCGTGGGCTGTGGGGTGGCTGCGTGTGGGGTGTGGGGCTGGCGGGAGTCGACTGCTCCCCGATCCCGCCTCCGCTGCCCCCTTTGCCGCCGCTGCGGCCCCGCGCCGCCGCAGTGCGCCCACCCGGCCTGCGCGCGGCCCTGCCACTTGCCTTGCGCCACGGCCCACCCGCAGCTCCACACGGACTGGGAGACTCAGCCCCCGCGGCCCGTCTTCTTCTGCAGGACGCATTCCCGCCACCGCGCTCCCACTCTCGTGAGGGTTTAGGGTTTAGGGTTTAGGGTTTGGGGGAGCTGCGCGCTTTCTGGGCTTTTTTTCGCGCTTTTTGGCGTTTTCTGCGCGTTTTTAGAGCCTTTTAGGGGTTTCTAGGGTTTAGGGTTTAGGGTTTAGGGTTTAGGGTTTAGGGGCCTAGTAGTAGGCGGTTAGCCCGCGGCCCACCCGCAGCTCCACACCGACTGGGAGACTCACCCCCCCGCCCCGTCTTCTTCCTGGCACCGGGCCCCACTCTCGTGAGGGTTTAGGGTTTAGGGTTTAGGGTTTGGGGTTTAGGGTTTGGTGTGGAACTTGTGGGCTTTTTTGGCGTTTTCTGGGTTTTGTAGATTTTAGGGGTTTTTAGGGTTTAGGGCTTCGAGGTTAGGGTTTCGGGATTAGGGTTTAGGGCTTACGAGTTAGGGGGAGGGTTTAGGGTTTAGGGTTTAGGGTTTAGGAGTTAGGGGGAGGGTTTAGGGTTTAGGGTTTAGGGTTTAGGGTTTAGGGTTTAGAGTGGAGCTAGTAGTGTCGAAGTTGCATGAAGAGTTCCTCCTTTGAATGCCGCTGCGCTCCCATGCCGCTGCCGCCTCCGCTGCTACCGCTGCTGCTGCTGCTGCTGCTGCTGCTGCTACAACTGCTGCTGCTGCTGCTGCTGCTGCTGCTGCTGCAGATACTGCGGCGGTACCAGGCGAACCGGGAGAAGGAGAAGGCGAAGGCGCGGGCCCTCGACTTGCCGCTGGAGCCGGAGCTGCAGCGGTGGCGGCAGCAGCTGGCAGCAGCAGCGCTGCTGTTTGCTTCTCCGAAGCGCACGCAAACCAACATTCTGCTGCTGCTGCAGCAGCAGCAGCAGCAGCAGCAGGGGCAGCAGGGGCAGCGGCAGGGGCGGCGGCAGCTCGAGCCTGCTGCCGCCGCGGACACGGAGGCGGCGGCGACGCAGGACAAGGAACACGAGGCAGCAGCTGCTGCAGCACCTGCAGCAGCAGCAGCAGCAGCTGCTGCTGCTGCTGCTGCTGCTGCCACACCAGAGACGCTGCAGCCAGAAGCGGCGCGGGACAAAAGAGACCCTCCTGGAGAGTCCAACCCCATCACAAGGAGAGGCAAAGCAGCAGCAGCAGCAGCAGCTGCTGCTGCTGCTGCTGCTGCTGGCAGTGGACGGCCCTCGAGCGCGAACAGTGCAAAGGAGCCGCAGCAGCAGCAGCAGCAGCAGAGCAGACGCAGCAAGGGCCCCCGCAGCAAACAGGAGCAGCAGCAGCAGCAGCAGGAGCAGCGGCACCCGCGGCAGCACCAGCTGCAGCTGCGCAGCAACACAAGACACCGCAGAGTCTCTTTGGAGACAGATTTAGAAGCAGCAGCAGCAGCAGCAGCAGCAGCAGCTTGCTGCGCCGAGGGCCCCGCGGGAGAGGCTGCAGCAGCAGCAGAAGCAGCAGCAGCGACGCCCACAGCAGCAGCAGCAGCAGCAGCAGCAGCAGCAGCAGAGGAGCCGCCGGCAATCCTAGAAGTCGGAGACGCAGGGGAAGCAGCACAAATTGCTGCTTGTTTGTTTAGTGCTGCAGTGCCGCTGCTGCTGCCAGATGAAAAAAGCCTCAAGTGTCTCCTTTTAGGAGACACGAGAAAGCGGAAGCGGGAGGAGCAGCAGCTTCCGTTTGCTGCTGCAGCAGCAGCAGCAGCAAGCAGCAGCTTGCTGCCCCGCTGCTGCCTGCTGGAGGCCTTCGCGCTGCTGCTGGCTGCCTTCGGGCTCCGGGTCGACAGCAGCAACAGGCAGCAGCTGCAGCAGCTAGCTGCTGCAGCAAGAGACTTCAGCATCCTGGACGTGGCAGCAGCAGCAGAAGCAGCAGAAGCTGCAGCAGCAGCGCCACCTGCTGCTGCTGCCAACGCCTCCGGCGCTGCCGCTTCCGCCTTGTCTTCCCCGACAGCAGCAGCCAAAAGCAGCAGCAGCAGCAGCAGCAGCAAACTGGCCTTTGCAGCAGCAAAGCCCGCTGCTGCCGCTGCTGCCAGCAACGCTGCTGCTGCCGGCACGGGCGCTGCAGCCTTATCCTTACAGCGCAAGGCCCCTGCTGCAGCAGCAGCAGCAGCAGCAGCAGCAGCAGCAGCAGCAGAGGAGGGGGGGAGACAGATAGAATTAAGTGTCTCCGTTCTTTCTCGTTTAGCTGCTTTGAACAGAAGTCCCTGCTGCTCCCTGTGCAACCGCGTGGGCTCAACCTGGCCGCTGCAGCAGAAGCAGCAGCAGCAGCAGCAGCAGCAGCAGCTGCAGCAGCAGGAGGGGGAGCTGCTGCTGCTGCAGCGGTGTCAGTTCTGCAATGTGAAAGTCTGCAGAAACTGCTGGGGGACTGTCGAGAGACAACCTGCTGCTGTCTCCTTTTTGAGCGAAGCAGCAGCAAGAGCAGTGCGGCTGCAGCGCCGCAGGGCCTGGAGAGACGGCAGCAGCAAACCCCCAGCAGCAGCAGCAGCAGCAGCAGCAGCAGCAGCAGCAGCAGCAGGTCCAGGGGCCGCAGCAGCAGCAGCAGGCCCGGGGGCCGCAGCAGCAGCGGCAGCCGCGGACGACCCCAGCAGCGCGGGCAGCGACGAAGCAGCAGCAGCAGCAGCAGCAACAGCAGCAGCAGCAACAGCAGCAGCAGCAGCAGAAGCCTGGGTTTGTCCCCGCTGCGCCTGTCTCCTTTCGGGGGAGTTGACTTCATTTGCTGCTGCTCGGTGTCTCCTCTGCAGCAGAATTGACGGCTTGCTGCTCAAGAGAGTCGACCAGAAGCCTGCAGGGTGTGCTGCTGCTGCTGCTGCTGCTGCTGGTGCTGCTGCTGCTGCATTGAGTGCTGCTGCTGCTGCTGCTGCTGCTGCTGCCCAGGCCGATGCAGGTAGTGCCGGTAGTCCTGCTGTTGGTCACTGCAGCTGCTACTGGCTTGTTCGCTCTTTCTGCTGCTGCTGCTGCTCCCGTTGCTGCTGCTGCTGCTACTACTGCTGCTGCTGCTGCTGGCTCGTCACTTGTTGCTGCTGCGTGCTCACCCCCAACCAACGCGCGGCCCCACTCTGCTGCTGCTGCTGCTGCTGCTGCTGCTGCTGCTGGTTCGTCGCTTGTCGGTGCTGCTGCCCGTGCATCCCCGCCCAACACGCGCCCCCCTCTGCTGCTGCTGCTGCTGCTGCTGCTGCTGCTGCTGCTGCAGGAGCAGCCGCAGCGCGCACCCCACAGACCCCAGCAGCAGCAGCAGCGCGCAGTGGGTGCACTGCGTCTGCGCCCTGGGTTTAGTGCCTCCCCGATTTGCTGCTCTTCCGACGGAGTCTCTCCGCAGCATTGCGAGGACTGCTTTCGACAAACCCTGCTGCTACTGCGGCCAAAAAGTAGGGTTTAGGGTTTAGGGTTTAGGGTTTGGGGTTTGGGGTTTGGGGTTTGGGGTTTGGGGGGGCGGCTAGGGTTTGCGGCCTGGGCCGCCGGCTGCGGTCTAGCTGCGCAGCTGCGCTGCGGGCAGCGGGATTTAGGGTTTAGGGTTTAGGGTTTAGGGTTTAGGGTTTGGGGTTTGGGGTTTAGGGCTTAGGGTTTGGGGTTTAGGGTTTAGGGTTTGGGGAGGTGCGTGCAACTGCAGCAAGGAGCGACAACGAGCTGCAGCAGCAACGGCAACGGCAACCGCTGCGCTTACGTGTACGTCCTTCACCTTCCAGCAGCAGCAGCAGCAGCAGCAGCAGCAGCATTAGCAGCAGCAGCAGCAGCAGCAGCAGCAGCAGCAGCTAAAGCGCTTACTCACCAGTCCTAGCGTCACTTAAATCCCTTAGAGCTGTTGTTTGTCGACGGCACCTTGGGGCTTCCAGCTGCCACTGCTGCTGCTGCTGCTGCGCAGGTTCCACGTGTCTTGTGCGCGGGCGCTGGGCTGCCGCCTCGAGGGCCACCACGGCAGCAGCCACAAGCTGCAGTGTCTGTACCACTCGCTGCTGAGTGCGGGGCGGCCAGCAGCAGCAGCACACAAGCAAGCAGCAGCAGCACACAAGCAGCCAGCAGCAGCAGCAGCAGCACACAAACTGCCAGCAGCAGCAGCAACAAGAGCCACTGACAACAGACTCCCCCTCACTAGGGGCCCCCCCCCTCCCCCCCGCGAGCTCGACGCGCTGCACCATTTAGCTGCAAACCCCATCGAATATTTGCAGGTTTGCTGCTGCTGCTGCTGCTGCTGCTGCTGCTGCTGCTGCTGCTGTTTCTTTGGCTGCTGCTGCTGTTTCTGCGGCTACTGCTGCTTCTAGCAGCTGTGTTGCGACTGGTGCTGTGGCTGCTGCTGCTATCGCTACTTTTAGTGTGGGGTCGCTGCTGCTGCTGCTGCTTTTCCTGCTGCTGCTGCTGCTATTCCTGCTGCTGCTGCTGCTGCTGCTGGACTTCCGGCTGCATGCATCTTGCTGCCTCTGCCTGTCCTACACTTTCTTCTTTAGAACTTCAAATTTAAATTTATATTTTTTGTTTTTGCTGCCTTGGCTGCTGCAGCAATATTTCCTTCCGGGCGTTCTCCTGGCGGGTTTGCCTCAGCCAAAGCCCTCCCGCGCTCCTGCTGCTGCTGCTGCTGCAGCAGCAGCAGCAGCAGCAGGGAGCTGTGAGGAGAAGGCGGAAGAGAGCAGCAAAGGCGCTGGGGGCGCGGCTGACGCCGCAGGCAGCAGCGGCGCCGCCGCAGCCCCCGACAGCAGCAGCAGCAGCAGCAGCAGCAGCAGCAGCAGCAGCAGCAGCAGCAATTTGTGCGCAAGTGACCCCGAGAGCGACGGGGGCGAAGGCAGCCGCACTCCAGCCCCCCCCTCGCCCATGCATTTGGCGGAGCAGCAGGAGCTGCTGCAGCTGTCGCGAGTGGTGGCAACAGAAGCAGTGCGGCGGCGCGAGAGGCGCAGCAGCAGCAGCAGCAGCAGCAGCAGCTTTGCTGCTGCAGCAGACCTGCCCCCCCCAGCGGCCTGCAGCAGCAGCAGCAGCAGCGAGCAGCACAAGCGGCCTTGGGATGCTGCTGCTAGAGACGCAGAGGCAGCAAACCAAAGCAAGCGGAGGCGGGAGGCCGACGCGACGCCGCCCTCATCCCCTACAGCAGCAGCAGCAGCAGCAGCAGCAGCAGCAGCAGCAGCAGCAGCAGCAGCAGGGTGGCCGCCAATGCCTTTGCCCCCGCCCCCCAAGGTTGCTGCTTCTGCAGCAATGTTATCTGCCCAGTGGTACGGAGGGTCCTGCACGGGTCTGTACCTGGGGGGCCCCCAGGGGCCCCCGGGGGCCCCCCTGGGGGCCCCGGGCGGCAGCCCGCAGAGGGCTGGGGGCCCCTCTGGGGGCCCCCAGGGAGGCCTCCAGGGGGGCCCCCACGCGGGGGGCCCCCTTGGGGGCCCCCCGGGGGGCCCCCAGGGGGGCCCCCCAGAGGCCGGGGGGGCCCCCGCGGGGGCCCCCGGGGGCCCCGCAGAGGGGGGCCCCCTGCAAGGGGACAATGAACCCAAGCCGGTCTTTTGCCCCATTTGTAATGGACTTTATAAAGAACTTCCTGGGGGGGGCCCCGGAGATGGTTTGCACTGGATTGGCTGCGATTGTGAGTTTGGAATTTGAATTGTTGAATTGAATTTGAATTGTTGAATTTGAATTCTGAATTTAATTTGAATTGTTGAATTTGAATTGTTGAATTGAATTTGAATTGTTGAATTGAATTTGAATTGTTGAATTGGATTTGAATTGTTGAATTGGATTTGAATTGTTGAATTTGAATTGTTTACTTGAATCCGAATTGTTTAATTTGGATTGTTTGATTCAATTGGAAGTGTTTTATTCAATTTGAACTGTTTGTTTTAAAATGGATTTTTCAACTTAATAAATGCAGTTAAAGCCCCACTTGAGTTTGAACTGGAATGAGCGAATCTGCACAGCTGTCCATTTTCTGTATTTGTTGCGAATTGTTTTTATCTTATTAATTTACTTCATTGTATTTACTTTATTTGTTTTATTTCTTTTTTTTTCATTTATTTTGTTTCAGTTGTTGTGTCTAAACTTGTGGCGGAATCTAACAGAG